GAAGGACAGCAGTATTCCAGTACAGGGAGTGGGCGGAGGCCACCAGGGTAGAGCCGAGGTCAGGGCCGGCAGGAGGAGGGCAGAGAGTCATTGTGCGGGTCGCAGGAGGGGAGATCAGACGGATGGAGGCAGTGTGGTGTCGTGTAGGGTCGAGGACCGGCGAGGTCTCCTTGGGAGTGGGGGTAGGCGGGGGGGGAGCGGAGTGCCGGATGCCAGCTCATGAGCCAGGGAACGTGACCGTGGAGGTAAGCGTCAACGGAGTGGACTGGGGAGGGAGGGCCGGGAGATACGAGTACACGGAGGAGTGCATGGTGAGACGGGTAGAGCCGTCGTCAGGTCCGGCTGAGGGGGGTACGGAGATAACGCTGTACGGGGCTGGGTTTAGCCGGATGGGGCCTTTGACATGCCGGGTAGGGGCGACGTCAGTAGGCGACTTCAGGGTCTTGTCGGACGAGGCAGGAACATGCAGGACACCCGGGCTCCGGGAGGGAGAGGAAGGGAGCAGGTTGACGGTCGGGCTGGCGAAGGTTGCGATAGGAGGGGGAGAGAGGAGGGTGTGCCAGGGGGGACCCTTTGTCTATCGAGCGTCCGTGCACGTCCAGACGATCCAACCGTCGGTGGTGTACGGTTTGAGCAACTGTGTATGAATTTTGATCGAGGGGGAGGGTTTCAGGGCAGGGGAGAGAGGATATTGCAGGTATCAAGGGGCGAGGTGCAGAGACCAGGTTTGCAGCAAGACTGAAACCACAGGCGGCACGATACTCTCCTCGAGAGCGATGACTTGTCCGTCGCCGAGCCGGGAGGCGTACGATGCGGAAGGGCTTGCGAGGGTGACTATAGAGATTGGCGGGGCAGAATACACCGGGGCAGGCATGCAGGTGCTCTACGGGAGGGAAGCGACGATATCGGCACTGATACCAAGCTCGGGTCCGGAGGGAGGAGGGGCGCTGGTGACGGTGGTCGGCTCTTGGATAAGCGGGGTAGGGGGTGCCGGGGTGTACTGCCTTTTTGGGGCAGGACAAGGAAGCAGGGCAGCTGGGCGGGTGGTATCGTCGAGCATGGCAGTATGTATTTCACAAGCCGGAGAGCTGGAAACATCACGTTGCAGCTGGGCGGGCAGAGCAGGGACGAAGGGACATCCAACGGACTAAGATACGAGTACATGTCAGCCGACAGAGGCATACCAGCAGTGGCCGAGCACGTTGCCATGTCTCAAAAGAACGTATCCTTGGAAGCGGTCATTACGCCATCATTTGGCCGTCTGGAAGGCGGCACGCGGATATCCGTCGTTGGGATGGGCGAGTCACCCGGGGCGAATGCGGTAGCCCGGTGGCTACATGTGAACTCCTCCAGGCCTTGCGGGCGGGTACCGCAGGAGGGAGCAGGGTCCAGGGAAGGAGTACTGGTGTGCATCAGCCCGGAAGCCAGGGCACCGGGGTCAGCGTATGTAGCGATCACGGCAGAGGAGGGCACAGCCACAGCTCAGGAGGGATTCTTGTTCTTGTACGAGCCTGGTGCAAGCGTGAGCAGCATCAGGCCGAGCCGGGGAGGAGATGGGGTAGGTAAGACGAGCACAGTGACGGTAGTAGGGAAGCATTTCAAGAACACTCCCAATCTTGTATGCAGAGCCGGGAGAAAAGCATTGTATTCATTTTTGGATGTCGAGCACTTTGGTTGCGTGCGTGGTGCAAGGCGCCCATTGCAGGTCGGAGAGCTGTAACGTGACGATTGAAGTAAGCAACAACGGAGTAGACTTTTCCGAGGCGGCGCGTGCTCGGTTTGAGTACCGGGGGAGCGAGATAGGGAGGCTGGAGCCTTCCTGGGGGCTCGCTGGACGAGCGACGGAGGTACGGGTGACGCTGGGGTACAGGGCCTGGGAGGGAGCGGAGACTGGAGACAGGTTATGTCGCTTCGGGGACGTGGTTGTATCCGGCGTCACGGCGTCAGATACAGGAGGAGGGACGGTGTGCAAAGCTCCGCCGCAGAGGGTAGGGGTGGTGATGGTGTCCCTGAGCACAGACGGAGGCCTGCACTACGAAGAGGTCGGAGCAGGCTTTGAGTACATTGCGGGCATTCAGGTCGTAGGGCTAGAGCCGTCTC